CAAAGTTTCACCTTCTTTACTTCCAAGGAGCATTCCAGATGTACTTTTTTGAGACAGACTTGTTCATTCTCTTGGCAGTCCATGGTATATTCAATATTTTTCACCCACACCATAATACAAATGCATCAATTCTTCTTCTGTCTTCCTTATTCATAGTCCAGTTTCTCATGCATATGAGGTGATTAAAAATACCATGGCTTGGGTCAGGCACACCTTCATCCTCAAAGTGATATCTTTGCTTTTTAACACTTGAAAGAAGCCTTTTGTAACAGATTTGCCCAAATGCAATAAGTTATTTGATTTCTTATTGTTGCTTCCATTAGCATTGATTGTGGGTCCAAGTAGAGTGAAATCCTTGACAACATCAATATTTTCTCCATTTTTCAAGACATTCTGTTGTGAGGATTTTGATTTTCTGTATGTTGGGATTTTATCAATACTGAAGGCTGTAGTTGATCAGTAAGTGCTTCAAGTCCTAGTCTCCTTCCGCAAACAAGGTTGTGTCATCTGCATATCACAGGTTGTTGTTGAGTCATTTTCTAATCCCGATGCCACAATCCTCTTCACATAGTCCAGCTTCTCTGATATTTGTTCAGCGTACAGATTGAGTAAGTATGGTGAAAAGATATAACCTGGGCATACACTTTTCCTGATTTAAACCATGCAATCACCCCTTGTTTTGTATGAACTTCCTCTTGGTCTGTGTACAGGTTCTACAAGAGCACAATTAAGTGTTCTGGGATTCCTGTTCTTCACAATGTTATCCATTGTTTGTTATGAACACCACAGTAAATGCCTTTGCGCAATCTTAAGTACAGATAAACATCTTTCTGGTATCCTCAGCATTCAGCCAAGATCCATTTGATATCAGCAATGATATCCCTTTGCATGTCCTCTTCTGAATCCAGGTTGAATTTCTAGAAGTTCCCTGTCAATATACTGCTGCAACCATTTTTTAATTATCTTTAGCAAAATTTTGCTTTTGTGTGATATTTATGACATTGTTCATTAAGTTCCACATTCTGTTGGATCGTCTTTCTTTGGAATGGGCATAAATATGCATTTCTTCCAATCAGTTGGCCAGGTAGCTGTCTTCCAAATTTCTTGGCAAGTAAGACTGAGTGGAGTGCTTCCCTGTTGCATCCATTTGTTGAAGTATCTGAATGGAATTCCATCAATTCCTAGAGCCTTGTTTTTCACCCATGACTTCAGTGCAGCTTGAACGTCTTCCTTTGGTATCATAAATTCTTGATAATATATAACCTCCAGAAATGGCTTGGACATCAACCAATTCTTTTTGTTACAGTGACTCTGTATATTCCTCCCATCTTTTGTTCATGCTTCCTGCATCTTTCAAAATTTTGCCCATAGAATAATAATTAAAATAAAAGTAACAAGAAAAAAAAAATTTACCCATAGAATCTTTCAGTATTGCAAGTTGAGGCTTGTCTCTTTTCTACAGTTCTTTCAACTTGAGAAATACCAAGTGTGCTCTTCTCTTTCAGTTCTCCAACTTCAGATCCTTGCACATTTCACTGTAATACTTTACATTGTCTTTTCCAGCTGCTCTTTTCCATCAGTTCAGCTCATTTACTTCATCATTTCTTCCATTCACTTTAGCTACTCTACGTTCAAGTCCAAGTTACAGAGTCTCTTCTTGCATTCATTTTGATCTTCTCCTGTTTTCTTATCTTTTTGATGACCTTTTGCTTTCTTCATGTATAATGTCCTTGATGTCATTGCACATTTTGTCTGATCTTTGGTCATTAGTGTTCAATGAATCAAATCTATTGAGACAGATTCTAAATTTGGATGGGATATACTCAAGATCATACTTTTGCTCTTATGGACCTGTTTTTATTTTCTTCAGCTTGAGCTTGAACTTGCAAAGTGGCATTTGATAGTCTGTTCTACAAATAGGCCTGGCCTTGTTCTGAGTGGAGTTTTTCCATCATCTCTTTCCACAGATGTAGCCAATTTTATTCCTGTGTTTTCCATCCAGCAAGGTCCACATATAAAGTGAGACAGACTATCATTTAATTTCTATTATTTTCATTAAATGGGGCTTTTCCATGTTTGGGGGTGCTTTTGTTGTTAAATGTCATCAAGTTGATTTTTGACTCAGAGTGACTCCATGTGACAGAGTAGAACTGCCCTGTTTGCGTTTCCTAGGAGCTCTGGTAACATAGTGCCTAAGGCACTTGACTGCTAACCCACCAGTCACTCCTTGGAAAGAAGGTTGGGCAATCTACTTCCATAGTGATACTGCCTCAGAAACCCAAGGAGGGGTCGCTATGAGTCGGGTCCGACTCGACGGCACATAGCAACAACAACAACATTGAGTTTCCTAGACTGTAATGTGGGAGCTCTGGTAGCATAGTGGCTAAGGCACTTGACTGCTAACCAGAAGGCTGGCGGTTCAAACCCACCAGCCACTCCTCGGAAGGAAGGTTGGGCAATCCTACTTCCGTAGTGATACTGCCTCGGAAACCCAAGGAAGGGTCGCTATGAGTCAGGGCTGACTCGACGGCACATAACAACAACAACAACAGACTGTAATGTTAATGAGAGTTGATCTCCAGGTCTTTTCTCCTGCAGAGCCTCTGTGTAGGTTTGAACTGCCAAGCACAAAACCATTGCACCATTTTGACTCCTTTCCTTGGGCAGACTTGGTAAATTGATCGATAGGTAAGTAGATTTCTAGGCCCAACGAAATAGTGATGAAGACGTGTGAGAAAACCATAGTGTTCTAGATCCCCTTACAGATCTTTCAGCAGTCTGTTTCTCTGAGAAAATGAAAGGCCATTGGTATTACTTATTATAATCTTTGAGAGCTCCATCAAAATTAATCACTAGATCCATATTAAGTGAATCACGTGGCCAAGCTTTATTTTTAAAAATAGTTATTTAAGGGACCTGATCAGATACATATGGACCTTTTGTAGCATGGTGGTTAAACTCTTGGCTAATAACTGAAAGGTTGGTGTTTTGAACCTACCCAGTGGCTCTATTGGAGAAAGAATTGGTGACCTGCCCCCGTAAAGATTACAAAATACTATGGGACAGTTCCGCTTTGTCACCTGGTGTCACTATGAGTCAAAAATTGACTCGACATCACTAGATAACAATAAAAACTATAAGGAGGTATACAAGATACAAAACCTGACTTGAGTAGTGTAAGAAGGACCCTCATCTCCACCACCAATAAAAGGTTAGGACGTAAGCAAGGTGTAAGTTGGGACCATGGGGAAAAAGGAGAGGAGCAGTAACTTAATTATTCATTTAATGTGACTCCATACATATTTCTTTCACAAACTAGTTTTCGTAAGAAGGACTAGAAAGATAGAGATGACTAAGTATACCCAGATAGCCCTGCAGCTTTATTTCCAACTGGTTGCTCTATTTTCTCTTCAACCTCAAATGGCTTGAAATGTGTACATTAGTTACCATGTCTTCAGTGGTTGGCTTTTACTTTTTTAGGAAGCACTGAAATTTCAGAAGGTCAAATTGAAGTCATTGGCCACATTCATAAAACACATATTTTTGAAATATCTAAGATCATTTTACTTTTCTATCAGTATGAAAATTCAGGTAAGGCAATAAATGGTAAATATAAGAGAGGCATTTGTCATTATAAAGTTTCAGAAGCCATTGGGGAAATAGGTCTCAGAATTTAATGTGCTGAAGTTTAGGTATAAGATATGGCCTGAGAGTTTCCCAGGAAAAAAGCCCCTCGAAGGATCCATGGATAACCCTGAAAAGTCTTACCACAAATTCATCCTTGAGTCTGTAAACATGTTAGCTAATGCAAGTTGGAATGGGAAATGCTTATAAATTGAACAGTCTTAGAAAGTTCTTAGTTCTAGAAATTTCTTAATTCAGTTGAGAAACTAGTTGATTGGGATATTAGCCTGTACCTTCCTAATGGATCAGTAGACTGTGGTCACCTCTCAGCTGTTCTTACAGACATTCACTTAAATAACACAAGGGATCACCCCTCTCCCTTCTGAGAAGAGCTCAGAGAGTTCTTGTCAGAAATTCCTTCCTCACTTGCAGCTTTTGACCATTGCCTCTTCTCAGGAGCAGTTTTTAAAGTCTCTCTGATGCTTGACCCTCTAACCAGGTAACAAAGTCTTCTACCTCCTGTGTCTTTTAGGAATTCTATAATGGATGATTTCACAGAGACCTAAAAACTGCAGCAAGAAATGATCACAAAACCCAAAAATGTTTTTTCAGGGATTGTCACCTGATGAATTTGTAATGTAGATGGGGTACCACTTCACAAATATTCTTGTATGTTCTAGAGTATAAATTCATTTTATAGAAAACTATTCAAAAGGACTAGAAAATGAGAGAATCCTATTAATCTCACAGTCAGATTATTTGAAAATTACCTTAGATACCATGCATTGGTTAAGGCTTTTTCCGATCCTGGATGCATTGAGAGGTATTCCACACCAAACGTCTAGGGGATAAAATGTTATTTATTTTCTTTGGGATTCAAATAGCATTTCTGAATTCTATTGCATCTCAAGGGTCATAATTAAGGATCATGGAAATTGTGGGAATATATCACTGCAAAGGTTTTTGTTTAGGCGAGCTCTCAAATTCTTGTGAACTCAATACAAAGGCACATGTGATGGAAATTGTATTTGAAAAGGCAAACAAAAACATTGAAATGGTTATATTGGCTGTAGAAAATATTGATATGGTAGAAAAGTAGTTACCACATCGTTTTTGAAACTTTCCCCTACAGCTGGACAGTAGCTTCCATTCCATTCACTTGTATTTGCAGAGAATCAAAGAGAGGTGTGAATAACCAATTCATGTTTCCTCTGTGTAGTTGTAAAATAACAATTCATACATGCCCAAACTCTATGTCCTCTCTAGATTTTAAAATAAGAAGCTGTGCAAACCTGTTTGATATGCAGTGTATTTGCAATGATAGATGCTGTTGAATCAAAAGTGACAATAATGTTTTTGTGTATTTTTTTTTTAAGGCTGGAAATTGAATCCAGTTGTGGGTGCTGTCTACAGTCCCGAATTCTATGCAGGTAAAGAGTTTCTCTTTGCACGACATTGTCTGGGCCTTTCCAAATGTGCTTTGCCTGCCAGTAGACAATGGGCTTCATAAGAGAATCCAAAGAGAGTGAATCCCTACCCTAAAAAATGCTGAATGATTTATTGGGGCAAAACCAAGAGTGTTGAAAACCCTTTAAACAACAAACGGAAATCATGTAAGTTACAGTATGGAGCCGGCAGGAAGCCACTGCCCCTTATGACATGTCACATTGATTTTGCCTTAAAAAAGCATTCTGGCTTTGTTCAATGGCATATTGAACAAACTTAGAGCTGTCCACCCCCATTTTCTTTCAATATGCCTGACTGTGTCTTTTAGCCATGCATTTCCATTTGGGGGTTCATTTTTCCCCAAAAAATCAGAGAGTTGGCTTCATTATTCCAAAAGGTGTCAGGAGGTTGAAATTGCCAAGAGGAGGGCTATTTAGAAAACTGGAAAAAATTAATTTACCTTTCTTTCTCCATCAGTCATTTTCCCTTGGCAATTCCATCTCTCTCTGCTTTGCCTTCAAGGACATGTGTCTCCTCTTTCCCCATCACTTCCTGCCCACCATCTTCCACTCAGCTGGAAAATCTACTCGCTTAGAAAACCGGGTCATCACAATTTAGGAACAACTAACCCAGAGTCAGTAGTGGCTCATGGGGTTGCAAGGGAAGGCAAAAATAAATTTGAAGGTCAGATGGCAGGCCGCAGACTCTGGCTGGCTTCTATGCCAAGAGCCAGAGTCTGGCAACCAGAGGAGTACAGGGTAGAGACTAGATGCTGGGAGCTTGTATCTAATTTTATCTTGGCCCATCCTTTCTTCCTCTTGTCTCCTTGCTCATGAACAAGCTGTATTTAACTCCTTAGCTTCCTCCAGATAGGTCTTCCTCATGGGTACTGAAGAGAAATTTTTGTTTTTAAAAAGACCCTTGCTTTGAACTAAGGAGAAATAAATGGCTGTTTGATCTAGGCTTACAAATGCAATTAATAATCTTCTGAAGATAAGTTTTTCCTCTTCGTCATCCTGGGATTTCTTACTTCTGCCATTTTCCTGATACTAAATGCGAACTCTAGTGGATGAGGAAGCAACACAGGGCACCAAGACAGTATTCCAGCACGGCAAATAACTGAATTAAAGAAAAAAAAAAAGTTTACGAAATATGGGCAGGTGTCTGGATGTGTACCCAACAGGAGAGTTGAGTCCTGGCTTTTAGGCAGGGAGTGTGTGCAGTTGTTCTTCCTGTGTGTGTGTGTTTGCAGCAAGCCTGGGTTTCAATCCAGGGATCCTGTGACTTGGGCGTAGCTGTGTTGACATTCATGGGGGAAGAGAGACTTAGCTACAGGGCTTTCCATTCTTAAGGCATAGAACCCAGCTCCTGCAAAGGAACATAGCAGAGTTAGGAAAATGAACCTAGCCCCCAGTCAACCTAAGTTGGCATCCTGGCTCCCCTGTATATCAGCTGTGTGACTTTGAGAAAGTTGCTTCACCTCTCTGTGTCTCCATCCCTTCCTGCATTAAATGGGCCAGATAATTGTCACAAACACACCAAGTGTGTGTTAGAATTAGATGGGCTAATATAAGAAGAGGTTTTGGTGCACAGTCAACACCATATAAATATTTGATAAGTGAAAATAAATATGTGAACATTCCCCCTGTCTGTTCAACAGGAAGAGAGGGAGAAATAACCAAGAGCTGATTCTGTTGAACTCTGAGTGAGCCATTAGATCAAGAGTCTCTCTAACTCATGAGAGGAAACATCCTTTACTTCGTGACATGTCTATTTAAATAAGCAAGCAAACAAACAAACACAAAAAACCTGTTGCCATCAAGTCAGTCGGCTCATAGTGACTCTGTAGGACAGAGTAGAACGGCCCCATAGTGTTTCCAAGGCTGTAAATCTTTGCAGAAGCCAACTACCTCATCTTTCCCTTGTGGAGCAGCTGGTGGGTTCAAACTAATGTAACTTTTGGTTAGCAGCCAAATGCTTTAACCACCCTGCCACCAGAACTCCTCCCTGTCTATTTGAGGGGAATTGATTTCTGGGGTCGTATAGAACTCAGTGGGTGTTTCCTCGGTACATCCTTGTCCCAAACTGCAAAGAAATGACATCTCTCTGATACTCAAGAGCAAAGGCAGGTGCAGCTTGTGTGTGTTGGCAGGGTCTGCCCTGTGAAATGGTGAGATGGAGAGAGGGGGCAGCAGACTCGATGCGTGCGCCTGCACACGTCCTCGTCCCCTGTCTGCTTCCTCCCCACACAAAGGGGGTGGACATCGAGAACCAAGAGGTCATCCTAAGGGGATGGAAGGCATAGACGTGTGCATCATGACAGAGACAAAGCGTGTCCCTGGCCCCATGTGACAAAGTCTGGTCACCCTTGTTCCATCCACTAGGAACACATCAAACACTTTCTTTGCTTGTGTTTTCAAACCCCCATGCGTGTCTGCGGGTGGCGGGTGTTTAAGAAGCCATTACTGTGGGAAAAACCCTTCAGATTGACTTGTGCACACAGCGATAATTTCATCTGCAACCTTTAGAGCCTTAGATTAGCCATTCCAATTCACCAGCGCCCAGCCTCCAAAGGTCCAGCATAGTGTCACGGGAGAGAGTGGGATGTAAGGGTTGATATTTACTGAGTGCTCTCAATGAGCCAAGGGCTGCTCTGAGCTTTTTACAGAAATTAGTGTAATTCATCCTCCTGGCAATCTTCCAAGTGAAGAAAGTAAGGCACGAAAGAGGTCATATTGCTGGCCTGATATTTCGTAGCTGGTAAGTAGGTGCCCTGATGGCACAATGGTTAAAACACTCAGCTGCTAACAGAAAGGTCAGCAGTTTGAACCCACTATGCACTGTGCAAGAGAAAAATGTAGCAGTCTCCTACCATAAAAATGACAGCCTTGGAAATCCTACGGGGGCAGTTCTGTTTGGTTGCCATGAGTCAGAATCAACTAGACAGGAAAGGGTTTGGTTTTGGTTTTGAAGAAGCAGGCCAGGATTTGAAATCAGGCTGCCTGGTCCCAGAGCCTATGTTCTTTATCAGCAGATGATGTCATTTCTATACTTTGAATGAACATTACAGTAATTCTTATTGACTGTACCAGTGATAGCAGGTCATGTTATTGCTCTGTGTCTCCACCAGTCAAATTCCAGAAGAGACGTATGATAGATCATTCTCAATTATTCCAACAATCGCCACTGCCTCCCCCACCCCTTTCAGACATGTTAACTGCTTGTGTCCGGGGAATATTTAGGAAGCCTGGGCAACCAACACCTCCTTCTAGAAGCTGCTCCAATAAACTCAAATCTAAGAAAGTGGGGCAGGGAAAGGAAATACTCCTTGAGAGATCTGAAGACTTGTGTCTTCAGGCTGCCGATGTCTGGGTTCTCCGAAATCCCCAAGTGCGTTCTCTTTCTACCTGCTGAGGAGATGGACAGAGTTCATAGTATTCAGAAATGAGGGGCAATGTTGCTGCAAATTCACTGTACCCTGCAATTCCATGTAAATGTTTGGAGACACACAGTGAGGATGTAACAGGCTTAGATACAGAATTTCAGGCACCTGCCTCGATGGGATGGATAGATGCAAAGGTATGGCGTAGAATGTGTTCTGTTCTAAATCCAGGTATAAGCACTAAAGTATGCATGATTAATTATTTAGGGGCCATCCCGAAGTCCCCCAGCCATAAAATAGAGCCTGGCTTTATCGTGCAGAATTGAGCATGCCGCAAAGCTGCAGCCGAACCTTTGTCGCTGATTAGCCTCAGATATTTAGCAAGGCAGCCCTGTCTTGGCCAGAGAGAGACAGCTGGACTCATTCGTCACTTCTATATATAAAACTTCGCATTAATGACAAATATCATCATATTTCCATAGCGTAATTATCGATTTTCTGAAGCTTATACAGAATTAACAACTCAGCCTTCCACTGTCTCTCGGAAAAGGGCACAAAAAGTTCACATATTTTGTAAATTAAAATCAATATTTTCAATCTCTCCTAAAGGTAATTTTCCTAATTTAGTGGACTTTTCCCTAACATTTATTTCCTCTTTTAATTATAAAATGGCAGGTTATTGATTTTCGGATATCACCTCTTGTCTCCCCAAGTGCATTTTTATTGCTAACGTAGGGTGGGGGT